AGCTATCAACATACTACATTACTGGGAGGTGTTGTGGTGGTTGAGGCGCCAGACTTCCACATGGCTGACCAGGATTCAAGTCCCAGACCCAGCGGATTGCTCTCTCTTTCTCTCTCTGGTAAGCACATGTGCCCTACAACAAATTAAAGTAATATTAAATAAAATTAAATAATTCTTAAAAAAAAAGGTATTACATATCTGACCTATGGATGGATGTGTAGATCTGTAAAAAGCCTGATAGTAAACATTAGGCTTCGTAAGCCACGTAAAGTCTCCATCGTGTATTCTTCTTTGCTTTTGTTTATTAGCCTCTAAAATTGTAAAACTCATATTTAGGTCAAGGCCATACAAAAACAGGTCATTTGGCCTATGGGACATAGTTTAAATAAAGAGCAGAAAAAAAAAAAACCAGATTCACATATAAGGTAATTAATTTCAGATAATCATGTTAAGATAAGGTGATGAGGAAAGACTAGTCCTTTCAACAAATGATGCTGGATCACTTTGATATACATCTCGAAAAAAAATTAACCTCAACTCTTACCTAACACTATACAGTACATTAAAAGCCTAATTAAAAATGGATCAAATCCCAGAAAGCACTTCCAAGAGAAAATTTCCATGATCTTGGAATAGGCATGGATTTCTTACACAGTACACAAAAAAACAGTAAGTCATAAAAGAAAAACTCTAACAAAAATAGAAATGTCTATTATTTGGAAGACTTCACCAAGAAAATGAAATGGAAAGCTACAGAATGGGAGAAAATTCTCCCATGCACATTTCTGACAAAACACTTATATAGGGAACATCAGTTAGCGTAATGGCTATGATGCTGGACTCCCACGTAGTCGACCGCAGTTCGCGTCCCGGACCCAGAGGCTTAAAACTCACGCCGGGCGCATGTGCGTGCATGCCCAAGATCCCAAGAGAAGAATGGAGGAGAAGGGATTGCGCATGGCCATCCCCCCGGGGGGGTGATTTCTCACTTTCTATCTCTCTGTTTCTCTCTTTCTGGAGAGCGCACATGCCCTATAGCAAAAACCTCTCCAAAAAAAAAGAAAGAAAAAAAATCACTTATATAAAAACAAAATGAAAAATACTTACAAATCAAAATTATGATGACAGGTAACCCAATTTAAAGATGGATAAAAGATTTAAGCAGGTACTTCAAAAAGGAACATACACAAGTGGCCAATAAGCATAGAAAAAGCTGAACATTGAAGCTGGCAGGTGGCATGGTGGTTAAGGGCACTGAACTCCCACATGGCCGACTACGGTTTGAGTTCCAGACCTGATGGGTTGCTTTCTCACTTTCCCTCCCTCTCTCTGTCTCTCTGTCTCTTTCTGGTCAAATTAAAATAAATAAAAAATAAAATGATTCTTAAAAAAATTATTCTTTTAAAAAAATTAAAAAGAAAGAACTGAACATTATTAGTCATCAGGAAATGCAAACTCATTTATTTTTTTATTTTATTTATTTTTTTTGGAGAGGTTTTTGCTATAGGGCACATGTGCTTGCCAGAAAGACAGTGAGAGACAGAGAGACAGAAAGCGAGAAATCACCCCCCAGGAGAGATGGCAAGGCCGCAATCCCTTCTCCTCTATTCTCCTCTCGGGATCTTGGGCACTCACGGACATGTGCCCGGGGTGAGTTTAAGCCACTGGGTCCGGGACTCAAACCGCAGTCGGCTACATGGGAGTTCAGTGACATAGCCATTATGCTAACTGCTGGTCCCAATGTAAACTGCATTTAAAAGGCAATTCCACTGCATAGCTATCAGAATGTCTAAAATTAAAAAGGCCAACCATAACAAGTGTTAACAAGAAAGTGGCAGAAACAGAACTTTCATATATTACTGATGAAAATGTGAAATAGTATTAACTACTTTGGAAAACTGTTTGGTAGTTTCTTAAAAGGTTCGAAATACATCTATTTTAGATCCAGCAATTCTACTCATCAGTACTCAAGAGAAACAGAAGCATGTCCACATAAAGATGTGTACAAGATGTGCACTGCAGTTACCTTATAAGAGCCCCAAATTGGAAACTACTCCAATGTCATTATATAACAATGAATAAAGAAATATAAGTACGTACTTAGCTGGAAACAAGAACAAATTATTGCTACATAGAACATGGATGAATCTCACTGATATAATGCTGAGTAAAAGACCGAGATATAAAAAAAACATGTAGTGTATGATTTCATTTATATAAAATTCTAGAAAATCTATATAGTGACAAAAAGCAGATCAGTGGTTGGCTCGGGGTAGGTACAGGTAAGGGAGAATAAGTATTTTCTAGGATGATGAAAATGTTCTGTATTTTTATTGTAGTGCTGGCTACATAGATTTGTCAAAACTCAACAAAGTTGATTTTAAAAACTCCGAATTATTCCTATTTTAGCTGTAAGAAACCCAAAGCACTGAGAGGCCAAGTAACTTATACTAGAGCCAAGATTCAATCTCTAGTAACTTTACTCTTAAGACCTTATTATGAGCCACTCTTTCATTCTGATGCTATAAAAGTAGAATACATCTATAGTCTCTTCTCTTCTGGTCACTATACATGTATTTATAAACATTCAATATTTGTATAATCAGAAATCAATTTTTAAAGGACAAAGATGCTTCAGGACCTTTTTCCAAGATAACATTTAATCCACTAATGAGAACATATTGGGTGGGGACCAGCAGTTAGCGTAATGGCTATGTCTCTGGACTCCCACGTAGTCGACCATGGTTTGCATCCCGGACCCCGTGGCTTAAAACTCACACCGGGCGCGTGTGCGTGCATGCCCAAGATCCTGAAAGGAGAATGGAGGAGAAGGGACTGCGGCGTGGCCAACCCCCCTTGGGGGGGTGATTTCTCACTTTCTGTCTCTCTGTCTCTCTCTGTCTGGCAGATACACGCACCCTATAGCAAAAACCTCTCAAAAAAAAAAAAACAAAAGAAAAAACCGTTAAAAAAAAAAAAAAAAAAAAAAGGAGAACATATTGGGTGTATTTTTTCATCTTTATGAAGTCATTTACCTATGTGGGGAGGGGTCTTCAATGACTTCATGGAAAATGCATATTATGAAAAAATTATTAATTCTATTTTTCCAAACCTTTCTTAAATGTATTTTTTCTTTATCCATGATAGAATGTGTGTATGTGCATAAGAATGAGAGAGAGAGCAAATGAGAGTCAGAAAGATAAGCACTCCTCCACCCCCGGGGTCTGGTCACATCCGATCCACTTTCTTTCTTTCTTTTTTTTTTTTTTTTGAGAGGTTTTCGCTATAGGGCGCGTGTGCTCGCCAGACAGAGACATAGAGACAGAAAGCGAGAAATCACCCCCCAGGGGGTTGGTCACACCACAATCCCTCCTCCTCCATCCTCCTCTCGGGATCTTGGGCACGCACGCACACGCGCCCAGCATGAGTTTTAAGCCACCGGGTCCGGGACGCGAACCGTGGTCAACAACATGGGAGCCCAGCGACATAGCCATTATGCTAACTGCTGGTTCCCAACGATCCACTTTCTTTATAGTATTATGGCTTGTCGGACCTTAGGCACTTGTATATGAGTCTGGCATGATTTTCAGGCTGACCAGGCCAAGGATTTGAACCACAGTGTGTGGCATATGGCTTCTCTTGCCACTGCACCATGGAGTTGACCCTCCACTAACTTTTTGAAGTTCCTGTGTTTTATTTTCCAGTCCACATTTCTTCACCTTGTTCAGAAACATATCACATACACTTTTGTAAAAAGCATTCCAGAAGACTGGCCCTATGTAGAGTAGTGCTTAAGCCCTAAGTGTAATGAGCCGGATGCCACCTGGCCAGTCGTGAATTGAATCCTGGCCCTTTGTATTCAGCATAGGAGGGAAGTTTTTCAAGGGCATTGGCAATAAACTCTCTGTTGCAGCTGTTTCCCAATTAATGTAAATCTTTTTCCTGTATAGTCTTTGAATAGCACCTTTTAACTAACCCATATATGTTTGGTTTTCAATGTTTTTTTAATACCATGTGGACTTATATGGTGCTCACTTTAGACTTGTGGTGTGGACTACTTATGCTACACAGTTATATCATAGCCTTCTTAGTCGTGTGCTTGGTTGGCTCTGTGGGTGCAGTCTAGATGGTGTCTAATGTATTTGTTCACAAGTGAAAGATTGTGCATGTGTTATATGTCATAGTATGTCATCAAAAAGGAAGGGAGTGAAAAACCATTCCATGATGATAATATCGGACCAAACCACTTACTGCTCTAAAGTTACTTGTACCCCTTAACCTGTCTTCAGAAGTTGCATATAGTTATAGTAGTGTATAAATTAAATATTGTGGGAAAACAGTCTTGTATTTTTCTGTATAGAATTCTGGCAATTCTATCTGTATTTAAAGATTTGACAATCTCTGGGGACCAGCAGGTAGCATGGTGGTTTAGGTGCTGGACACTCCCACATGGCCAAACATGGTTCAAGTCCTGGACATGGTGGCTTGCTTTCTCACTTTCCCTTTCTTGCTCTCCCTGTGTCTCTCTCACTCTGGTCAAATGAAAAGTAAATGAATGAATGAATAAAATTAAATAAAATAACTCTTTAAAAAAAAAAGATTTGACAATCTCAACATTGACTTGGAGAATAGCCATGAGACTGAACTGAACTATTATTTAAAGTGTGAACCACATATGATAAATCTGTCACTGATAAGCTGTAACACTGATAAACTTAAACACAGCAAATGATTTTTCAGTTTATTCATGCTTTAAATTGATATTTTGTGTAAATTACACGAGACAGTATTTTCACATAAGAAATCAAGGTGGAGTGGTGGTTAAGGCACTGGACTCCCATGTGATTTGGTTGACCGTGGTTCAAGTCCTGGACCTGGCCGCTTGCTTTCTCACTTACCCGTTCTCTCTCTCTGTCTCTCTCTGGTCAAATTAAAACACAAATAATAATAACAAAATTAAATAAATAATTCTTTAAAAAAAGAAATCATGAACAACTTACCTATGGAAACCATCTTTCAAAACTTCTTGCATCAAAATAATTTCAGAACAAGTGGCCCTTATGCCTATAAAAACCAAAAGATTAAGAAAAACAACAAAAAAAGGACTCAAAACAAGAAAATGTAAATAGGTAGAAAAGAATAATTTCAATAGGCTTTACCTGTGTGCTTGTTTAAAGGAAAAAAAAATTCCAGTCTATCACTTAATAGCTTAAGACACTTTGGGTAAGATAGCTTCTCTCTGTTAGTTCACAAGGACTTAATAAATACAGAAGCATTTAGAACATAGCCTATCATACAGTATGCTCTTTATGTGTGTTTGTTATTCATATAACCTATTTAAGTGTTCCTGGGACCACAAACATGAATAAAGTGTCTAAAAGCAAGGAAACGTGTTTAAATCCTGGCTCACCGAAACCGTATCGGATAAATACTGCCAACTTCTGTATTTTAACATCCATGCCTACAAAACTGGAAAGATGGTATATTTGTACCTTGTGGAGATGCTCAGAAGATTTTTTTTTTAAAAGAAGAAAAAACACTGGGACCAGCAGTTAGAGTAATGGCTATGTCACTGAATTCCCATGTAGCCGACCACGATTTGAGCCCCAGACCCGGTGGCTTAAACTCATGCCGGGCACGTGTGCGTGCGTGACCAAGATCCCGAGAGGAGAATGGAGAAGGGATTGTGGTGTGGCCATCGCCCTGGAAGGGGTGATTTCTCGCTTTCTGTCTCTCTGTCTCTATCTTTCCCGCGAGCGCATACACCCTATAGCAAAAAACTCTCAAAAAAAAAAAAAAGAAGAAAAAACTAGAGGCACTTAAAGTGCCAAAGTATTCCTCCATAAATTTGGAATAACCATAAATCTCACTATACTGATTCTATTCAGACATTAATATGTCCAATGTGAGCATCCTGAAACTTAAAATTCTAAGAACTATCAACTCTGTCAGGAACTTTGCCCCACATCAAAAGCTACAAGTGTATGAGAAAAACACACAGAAAATCACATATTACTGAATATTGGTGAGTGGACTAGATGTATTCCTGAAAAGATGTTAAGAAAAATGATGCAGGAGCCGGAAGATGGCACAGGGTTAAGGCACTTAAACTCCCATAAGTCCTGGTTTTGGCAGCTGGAAACTCTTGTATGTTCGTGCATGCCCAAGGTCCCAAGAGGAGAGTGGAGGAGAAGGGACTGAGTTGTGGCCTTCCCCCCAACCCCACTCCCACCCCCCTCCGCTGGGGAGGTGTGATTTCTCACTTTGTCTCTCTGGAGCATATGCCTCATAGCAAAAATCTCTCTAAAAAAGAAAAATGATGTAAACATAAAGCCATTTGAAGGAAGGAAAAGAGAAAAGAAAAAAAAAACACATTTGTTAAATAATAACAATATGCCAGATCTTCTATTCGGGGCTTTCACAAAAATTTTCTTTGAACTTTCACAATCTAGCAAAATAGGCAGGCAAACTTACTATCGTCTGTACACAGGAAGAAACGTACAAAGAGTATAAAAACTTAATTCTCAAATTTTATATTCCCCTGCAAAGTCTTCAGTTTGTGTATTTAAGACTGTAGATTGCCATAGTTTTACAGCATATAAATTTCAAACTATTCAATATCCCATAAGTATAGTTTAAAAAAATTACAGTTTATTAACTTGCTTTAATCCCAGCACAGTCTTTTTTTTTTTTTGCATCTGAAAGCTGGTCCCACAATATGATGTACCTTCCTTTCTGCATCCACCATTACAGAGAGGACAAGTCTTTACGCTGTGGAAGATCTGAGCTTTGATACCAATTTGCCTGACTGGATGGGACACAGCAGATGGCCTGAAGTCCCCTCATTTTACAGAGGAGTTTACACTAGTTATGTGGATCTTTGACTTCATCACAGCATTCCTGTAGATAAGGGGTAATTCTTTTTTTTTTTTTTTTTTGGAGAGGTTTTCGCTACAGGGCACATGCGCTCGCCAGACAGACAGAGACACAGAGGCAGAAAGCGAGAAGTCACCCCCCAGAGGGGATGGTCATGCCGCAATCCCTTCTCCTCCATTCTCCTCTCGGGATCTTGGGCATGCACGCACACGCGCCCGGCGTGAGTTTTAAGCCACCGGGTCCGGGAAAGGGGTAATTCTTAACCCAATCTATTGCCGGGTCTCCTGGGATGAAACGCAATCCTGAATTAGGGTGGTCATCTAGCTTTTTATATCCAAAAAAACACACTTCCTACTCAGAAACATTTCAAGTTAAAACATAAGAAGTGGGAAGAGAAGAAAACACCTACTTTTTAGTTCATTACTGTTAGGGGACAGCTGACCTGAGGAGGCAGTATGGGCCCCAGAAACTATTACAGGTTGCTTTTTCTTCCTCGTGGGCAACTGTTCTTGGAAAGGTCAAATCAGTCGTTGTGTAAATATAATGTATAGAAAAACCTAGTCAATGTGTTTTGACTATCTTAGTATTTAAGTATTATCTAAAACAAAAACCATTAAACCTTTTTTCTTTCCTGAAAAAAAAAATAAGAGTATAAAGACTTATAAAAGAGTACGTAGCTCTAGGTCATTAAATTAAGCAAATGGTCAGGAACACTGACTTTGAGTTAGAATGCCTGACTTCAAATTCCAGACTGTCACTTAACAGCTGTGTGACTTTGGGCAAGGTGGTTTCTTTTTGCTAGTTGTTAAAGTGACTTTTAAATCAGGGACCAGCAGAGGATGTAATGGTTACGTCGCTGGACTTCACGTAGTCCATCATGGTTTGAGTCCTGGACCTGGTGCCTTAACACTCACACCAGGTACCTGTGTGGATGCGCAAAATCCCAAGAAAAGAATGGAGAAGGGACTGTGGCATGGCCACCACCCCAAGTGGTGATTTCTGCTTTCTGTCTCTCTGGTGAGCATGCACGCCCGATAGCAAAAATCTCTCTATCAAAAAAAAAAAAAAAAAAAAGACTTTAAAAGGCTAAAATAGTTCCACTTTCCCCGCTGTTTCAAAAAACCTCACTTGCCTTGTAGGAGTTTATTTTCTCCCAAGTAAATATATATGGTATGTATTTCTTGTGCAAATCCAAATTTTCCTTCCTTTTAAATTGTAATGGAGGTGGGGAATAAGGGCTAATCTATCTACAAATTAAATTAGAAGGAAAAACATCAAGCCAATAGCCTTAAATTCTACTGGAATGTACATTAGTGGTAAATCATATTGAGGTGGTACAATGTTTACTTTACAAACTGTATAGTATACATTAGATTATGTATGATTTTTAAGGAAAAAGTACCACTTACAAGACGAATGTGATGCAACAGCATCAAAATACACCAAGATTTTTCCTCTTAAATGAATACTTTGTGGTGATTTGAACTAGCTCTGGAAACTTACTCCTTTTTAATCATAAAATGCCAAGAGTGGGAAGAATCTTTAGAGGTCAGCAAGTTCAGTTGTTTAAAAATTATTTTTGGCCTCATGATCCTTACTTCGAATAAACTTGTAAGCATAATTTGTAAACACAGAAAAGCAAAGCTACAGTGACTGACAGATCCTAGTCTAAGACTCTTCTTTTACAGATGGAGAACCCCACCTGATTGAGGCTGCCTTCCCTTTCCCTATCAAACGTGATCACGTTTTTGTATAACTACACCTGCACGTGTCCATCTCCCTTGCTACACTGCAAGCTCCTCGTGTGCAGGGGCCGTTTTTGCCGCAGGACTTGATCCACAGCACTCAGCACCGCATTTTGGCCACAGATTCAGGCCCAAAGAAGTTAATCATCTTACCTGCCTACCCCAGTCATATAGAAAGCCCAGCCCAACCTAACCCATTTTAAACATGTTCGTAAAAACAACTAGTCGTTTCCCTCCAGTCTCTACACTGCTTTGGGATTCTCACACCTTAGAGCGCTGAGGCTTGGGAGTTGGAAACTTCATGTTTTCCAAGAGCATCCCAAGACATTTCACAGCTATACTTCCTTTCAACACTTGAGTATTGAAGTGTGGCCAGTCTCGCCCGACTCTCCAGAGGCTCAAGATCCGCCACGGGGCCACTACCACCGGGAGGGAGGAGAAAGGCACGGCGGCCTAGGATTTTAGCCTCCTCCTCCGGCCGGAAGCACCCTGGAAATACACGGAGCAGAGAGGCTCGGGAGCCGGGATCCCCACCGCCCCGGCCCACCCTCGCGCCTGCACTCCCGCGGCCCCGCCCCTCTTTACCAGCGTCGGAGGGCG